CGAAATGTAGCAACAGCAACAATACAATTTTGTAAATAAAAACCAAAAATAAAACAATAATAAATTGGAAAAAAGAAAAAAAAAAGAAGCAAAACAAAATCGAAGCAAAATTGTATCATCTCAACAGCAATTCATGGACGCCCACAGAGGCTAAAGTACAAAAGTAAAACATAAACAGCAACAAATGAACAGCAACAACAAATGAACAACAACAACAACAACAAGAACAAGAACAAGCCATCATCATCTCAATTCACGGCGATACAGCATGGCTGTGAAGCCTGTGACAGTTTTTTGCATACCTCTCTGTCTCTCATTCCTAGGAAATCGACTCGATTGTCAATCGAATTATAGCTCAAGTAATACGCGTGGCCGGGCCGGGACTGCTGAATAGCATTCTGGCCGGGAATCGCGGTGCGGGTCGCCCTACCACGCCCTCCAGCAGCTTCGACGCCGATTTCGATGACGACGGCTTTGGCGATGATGACGATGATACTGATGATGCTGCATCGACATCAACATCAACATCGACTGCGTCCACACCGCCTTCCTCCGACGACACCGCCTCGCGGATCAAAATTGATTTGCCCACGGTAGCGCCGACAGCAGCGAACAAAGTGAGTGCGCGTAAGAGGCAAGACACTGTAACAGCATCAACAGCATCATTACCATCAATATCAACAAGTAGTACTACTAGCACCACTACCTCCACCACTACCAGTACCTCTAGCACTACCACCACCAATAGTCCCAGTCCTAGCCCCAGCCCCAGCCCCAACCCAGCCAACAAGACCTTAACAATAGCCAGTGAGATGCCCGTCGAGCTGCTGTCACGCGTTCTGGGCATTGAGCCAATAATCAAAGCAACAACTGCAGCAACTGCAACAGCAACAGCTGCAACGACAGCAGCAACAGTTGCAGCTGAAGTGCCGGCAACAGATGCAACAACGGGCACTGTTAATTCCCAATTAGCACCTACCTTCGACATCATTACCTCCACCCAGTATCCCACAAATAATGACAGCAACAACAACAGCAACAACAACAACAATAGCAACAACAACAACAACAACAACAATAATAATAATAATATCATCGACGAACCACAATTGCTTACAATTATAGCCGATATAAATCGTTTATTAAACTCTACCAATTATTTTATTACAACCAGAGATAATTTAACAACATCTCCAACAACATCAACAACAACATCAACAACAACAGTGGCGCCTACAATTGACAACAACAACAAGAACAACATTACGAAACTATTGCCCATCTATGAGTAACAACAATTGAGACACAAACACACACAACAACAGCAACAACAACAACATAAAGAGCAACAAGCAACAGGCAACAACCGAGAACAACAACAACCAACAACAACAATCATCATCAACAACAATTATTTAACATTTTGCTGTCCCATTCACAATTGGAATTCAGCAGCAGCAGTTAAAGTAGTCTGGTCAAAACTAAAAAGATACAACAACAACAACAACAACATCCATTTTCTGTTAATTGTATTTTTATTGTTTCTGGTGAAAGCAATTTAGTTGTCCACTAACTAATCAACGATATTAACCCTAGCTGTAAGCCAAATCAAATCTTTAAGCCACATCATTTGCCCATGAGCAAACAGTTGCAGTAGTCACGCCCATGCCACCGCAACCGCCCCTCGTCCTTCGCCCGCAGCACCCTTAGCCACAGTCTCTTAAGTGCTTTCTCTGTGTATCTCTCTGTAGCTGTGTATGTGTTTCTGTCCATGTGTACGCCCCGTCCATACTATGTTAATTCGCAGCCCCTTAACTCTTAGTTGAAAAACCCAACAGTCGAGTCAAATAAACTAACCGTTCTCTAAAATGTACCCACCAATTGCACACACGCACCGCAATTCCCGACCACCACCACCAACAACAACAACAACACACAACAACCCACAACAACATTGCGCACACCCCGCACCCCGCACCCGCAACACGCACCACGCACCTCGCACCCCGTACTCCGTTCAACGCTCACCGCAAACCGCGTGCGAATCCAAAATCCAAATTTCAATCCGCATCGACATCCGAATCTGAATCCCAATTCGAATCCGAATCCGGCCCCGAATTGAAACCTGGTTGTTGTAGCAAATCGATGAGCAAGCGAACCGCATCATCTCCAAGCTGCTGCGCGCTCTGGGCCCCACCGTGCTGCGCACGGCCATTCAGGGCAACAGCGCGAACGCCGCCCGGCAGGACTTCGATGCGGACTTCACGGACGATGACGACGACAGCAGCAAGAGCGACAGCTCCTCAGGCTCCAGCAGCACAAGCAGCAGCGCCAGTGGCACGCGGGTCACCATCGAGCTGCCCACCTTTGAGCCAGAGGATGAGAACGAGATTGATGCCGACGAGAAGAGCAGCAGCAGCAGCAGCAGCAGCTCCACCACTAGCACCACCGACTCCGACAGCACCACCGAGAGCTCCAGGCGACGATAATGAAATGTGCGTGTAATTTGCTACAACAACTAAGCGATGCATTCCCAAATTTCCATATGAATTGGTATTACTTTTAATGATTATCAAATTTTGTTCCGTGTTTTCAAAACAGCAGCGAAAATTGGCAAAACTAACCACAGCAACAACAACTGCAACAACCACCACCAACACGAACACGAACACGAACACCAACACCAACACCACCACAGCCACAATAGGCACTAGACTAAATACAGCAACAAGAAAATGCAATTCCGGCAATATAGAATTCCATATATATTTTTTTTTTAATGAACAATTTGTGAAATATTTTCATTGATGCGGGCATTCCTTATGCACTTCTAAATATTGTCTTTGTACTCTATTAACTAAATATATTTCAAAATCTCGACAGTTACGACTCTCTCTCTCTCTCTCTCTCTCTCTCTCTCTATCTATCTATCTTTCCCTCTTTCTCTCTTTTCCAATCTTTCTCTTTCCGTCTCTTTCTATTTATCTGTTTCTTTGAGACTCCGACTTAGAGTAACTCCCAGTTTTTAAATATTTCCTTATTCTTCTATTCTGTTGTCTCCTGATTAAAGGAAATGTAGTTCTAGCTATTCTACTATAAAGTTATACATGTATATATTGTATATATGTCTTGTCCTCGCTTTGAATATATCTTTTCTTAAGTCTACATATATCTCATGTCTTTGAGACGTATCTTCTCTAAGCATTTCAATTAGTGTCTCTCTATATCCAACTCCCCTTCTATCTCTTTATATTGACTTCTATCCATTTTTATATACATACATGTAACTCTATATATTTCGTTCTTTCCCTCACTCTATCTCTCTCTGTCTGTTTCTCTCAGATCTCTCACTCCCTCTCTGTTAGTCCATATCTATTTCTCTCCCCTTATCTCTGTTACTCTATCTCTCTCTCTCTTTCTTTCTCTCTCTCTCTCTCTCTCTCTCTCTCTGTTATTTCATACTTATTCTCCCTCTTTTACCTCAACAAGTTTTGAGCATTCAAATTTTTTTGTTTATTTAAATTTAATAGGTGATTTTTTTTACATTAACATTTAACTTGTTTTAGTTGTTAAAGCCCTTGTACGTATGTCTCATGTATGTGCATGTATGCACATATACATCGATGTATCTATGTTTTTAAAATATACAAAAATACCTGTACTCCTTTGGCATTTTAGTGTTTATATTTTAAGCGTGAATTGAAACAACTATCGAACTATCGAACCAACATTCATAACTGCACTTGAAACATTCATGATCGGGCTTACAATATTCACGGCTGCATTCACGATCTTCACGAACATTCCTCGATGCAATCGCATCTCGGCAGAGCGATCCACCTCAGATGTCATTAGTTCGCCTTATCGATATCATTAAAGCTTGAACTTTCAAAGTAATTATTTGCTTACCATTCTATATACACATATATGTATCTATAGCTGTATATCAATGGTCGATCAAGTCACATATCATTTGAGCCCAACAATCGTTGCAGTATTCGCTTCGAACTGAGTCCTCCAATACATGGAGAGTTTTTGAATCTCATTTTGAGTACTATGCAGATATGGTATTCGATAAAGTTGAGATTGAGAAACTGATCAAATCGAATTGATTAAAACTACATATTATCAGATCCGAGATCGAGACTTGGTCGAAACTTTTATATAAATCACTTTCTCAGTCTGAAGCACTATCTGTATCTCTCTCCATCTATCTATCTCTTCCTCTCTTTCTATCTCGCTCTCTCACACTCTGTCGCTCGGATATCCATGGCCTAAGCTTAGAAATTTTTGGGTATTCTGCTGCAGCAGGGGCGCCCTTCCGCCCCTGCTCTCTGTGGCTTTATTGATTGCTCATTTGTCTATCTGCCTTTGTTTTCTTTTTTGTTTATTTTGAATCTTTTTTTCTTTATTTTCATGTTCCATTAAACCGATTCGATTTGTGCAAATAACCAAATATACAAATAATAATAATAATCTGAATCGAACCAAACAACAAAACTGCAAAATGTTATCAAACAAACCAAACACAAACAAACAAAATCGAACAACTCTTTCGCAATGAAATCACCAACTGCAATTGAAACAATCGAAACAATAACGTTCTCAATCGAAATATTGTAAAATGTATACATAAATACACCAATTGCATTTGTGCACGTGCATTCGCTCTCATCAACAATTAATCAAATCGAATTTCGAACTTCGAATTCGACTGGCAAATCGGATGCAAATAATTGCAAAACAATAATAATTAAAAAACAAAAAATCTATAAACTGGCTAAACCCAAAACTCATAATGCCAAAACGAAATGTGTGCAACAAACCCTTAAATAACACTCCACTCCTGCCTAACCTTATATAACCGAAAAACTAACACACCCGCACACACATACACTCATACACTCATACACTCATACACATTGACCGACCGTTGCCCGATGTCCCTGTGCCACCTTTTACAACACTGAAAACTCTGCTACTTCACACACCCACACACACGCACACACACACACGTATTGCGCCAAATCCCGTGTTATGCAAACCAATCAATACACCGCAAACCGCACTCACACACACACATAACCACTTCCACACACATGCCAAATCCAAATGTACCACACACACACACACACACACACACACACACATATGAAATGCACATAATCAACTCCAAATTCGAAATTCCTTGCAATGCAACAAATGCCCATACAAATGAAATTCCGTTGCAATCCTGCGGGCGAATCCTGTTGCGATCGCAGAACGGCGCAACCGATATGAAAATCGATCTGTCGGCGATCAACAAACAACTCGAGGAGACCATTCGCGTGGCACGACAGGTGAAGGAGGCTGAGGCAGCGGCCGCTGCCGCCGCCCAATCCTCGGGCTCGCCCATCGCCCAGGCGCCCATTCCCCTCAAGTCCAACGAGCCCATCCAGCTGAGCTTCAACAACGAGCTGTCCTCGGTCAGCGGCAACAGCGGCGCCAGCAGCGGCAGCAGCAGCAGCAGCAGCATTGGAGCCACCGATGTCAAGGCTCTCAACACCAACGATCTCCAGCTGTCCGAGTCAAAGTCTCCGGCCATAGACGAGCTCTCCTTGGACTCCGTGGAAGACACGGCCGACCTGGATGATCGCAACAAGAGGTAAGCGGCAGACCCCGCCCACTGGGCTGGCCCCACAACCACCCACCCCACCACCCACCACAACAGCCACAAGTCACCATTGGCCTAGACATTGTCATAGATTGCCAATCGAATCCAACATGAGTTAGAAAAGTCTGGGAGAGTAGAGAAGGAGTTATACATGAATGCTGAATATATTGAATGCCCTAACTTAACTGTAACTAAATATCTATATCCGTTCTATCAATCCATCCAAATATCTAAATATCTAAAAATCTGTTATCTGTTGTACAAATTTCTTTTATTGCATATCCTAGTAATTTGACCTAGTCTATATATCTAGGGAAAGACAAGCTTTCATCCGAAAATCAACGCCTTGAGTAGATTCTTTTGCTTTCATGCATTCACAAGCCTTTTATATTAACACCAGATCGAGACCTACATTTCAATTACATCAAGATCAATCATTCAGATCCTTAGTGCAGCAATCAACTATTTATATATCTATGGTATAGATATATTTCAATCACGATCAAGCATTCAGAGCCGTAGCTTATCAATCAATATTTGCCATAAATAGGCATGTAAATAGATATGGATATATGTCTATGACTTTCGTATAAGAACCATTTTGGATTCATTGGCAATAACATTAACCGATAAGATTTGAAAATTATACCCAATATACTCGACTAATTGCACACTTCCGCCCACGTTTCCTTCAACTTGTCCTGCAAATGCAATCGAACAAACATAAGTAATATATTCAAAAGGTTCCTGAGCTTCGGTGGTGCCGGCCTGGCCGGTGGCTCCAGCGGCGGCGGTGCGGGCGCCTCGCCCAGCGGCAACAGCCTGGGCGGCGGCGCCGGAGGCTCCGGCAACTTCCTCCTGGACGTGGTGCGCGTAAGTATATAGCGCAGAGCTCGAAGCCTGAGTCTTGGGCAGCCGAATGACGCCCACCTTTCCTTCAGCTCTTCTCAGGCAGCGTGCAGACCCAGCAGGGCGACGAGGCCGCCAACTCGGTCAGCGGCGGCGCCAGCAGCAGCAGCGGCAGCAGCACGGACGACACGGATGCTGGCAGCGACAGCACGCGCACCGCTGACGGCTACACCGAGGGCATTCCCGGCCCCGTGACGCGTCTCGTTGTCCTGGCCAATCGAGGACTGGCCAACCTGGTGCAAGACTTGATACTGGTAAGAGGCGAAGGCCTTGCTTGCTCGATCTATTGCCTCTAACATTTGCTTATCTCATTCCTTAGCGCGTCGCCGCCACGAGCGAGAAGTTCGTCAACTTCAAGGCCAAATTGATAACGGCCCTGATATAAGCCAGCTTGTTGATCCTTGGCCAACTCCTCACGGCCCTGCCTTAGTCAAGTCAACCCAATTGTACAGAGTCAACGCAGCCAGCTGCACCACGCCCACATTTCTACACACACAAATACACACACACACACACACACACACACACACACAAATGCAACACGCGCGGAGAACGCACACTTGATACTCGTCCACTCGTCCATCACATTAATGTTGTTGTGTTCTTTTATTTGACAATGGAAAACAATTTACAAACTTTTAGCGAAATTTCTATTTCTTATATTAATACATACACACACCTATATATATACATATATAAATATATTTCCAATTCAACGCTCTGAGTAGAGAAAAATGTTTATCGAAATTTACAATACAAAAAGTGAAAAAGGAAAACTTTTTATTTATTTTTTTTTTTTACACGAAAATCGAAGAAGAAGAAGAAAATCACACACACACACACACACATAAATACGATATGAATGAAAACGAAAAAAAACGATCTTGCTCTGTTTCTTCCAAACTTTTGCTCTCGCTTCACTTTTGTAAATATTTTGCTATCCTAACTTAGTTTAAACATTCGCGATTCCATCCACTCCCCCAAGAATGTCCCACTCCTTATATACATACATATATATATTTTTTGATTACTAAAAGACGAAAACAAAATCATGACTGTGGTGTTTTATTTACTATTATTTTTAAAAACATATAATTTTATGTAGAAAATACCAATTTCCTTCACACACAATATACATATATATTTTTTTATTATTTTTTTTTTTCGCTTTACCTCTTTGCCTTAATTATCAAGTAATTAAACGAAATTTTCGAAGCGCAAATTCATTCAGAATTGAGAATGTATTCTTGAACAAGTCAATCAGGATATGTTTATGCGGATACACGAAGAACAAGAAGAAGAAAACTATTTTTAAATGCAAACTGTTCTAAACTTATTTACCGTTTTTATTTACACGTAAGCAAATGTGTTTCTATGATTTTTAACAGTTTAAGTAAAATTTTACATGTATATAAAATAAAAAAGTTTACTTAAAATACTCTAAAAGATCTTTAAATGGAGGGGCCAAAGGGAACAAGTAGATCGTAGACTCAATACAGTGAGGTCTATCGCATCATTTATCGCACCCAGGGCTCATTACAAGTGTTATGGACGGAGGTTAGACCATTCCAAAAAGTGCATATAGACTGCTCAGTATCATATTAATTCGATTCATATGAATCAGAGATGTCTGACTTTCAGAATTTAAATTGCAATTCCTTCGATATCTCAACTCTTTTATCTTGCTTTTCCTTGACAATAAATATACCTTTTTAGGATATTTGGTTAAATAGTTGAGTCATTCAAGCATTCAGAACCGTAGTATCAATCATTTATGTGTTTACCATAGTGAGGCAGTGAACGTATTCTTGTGTGCGTGTGTGCGTGTCTGTCTTAGGCCAATTAGAATCTCCAGGGTATTTGCTAGTCGAACACTCCCAACTAGATAAATCGTGCGTATTCATTGAATGCAACTATTTTTTTTTATTATTTAACAGAATTATAAATTTGAAGAAAAATCCATCGGTTTGCTTTTTGTGGTTTTGCCTTTGATTTTATCGCAGTTGAAGGCCATTCAGAAGGTTGTGCGACAAGATGAAGGAGAACCACTCGAGTTGGCATTGCAAGAGTTAGTTGTACAGACAAATTGAGTGTCGATAAATATACATATATACGTATGTATATATATGCGTAAATAAAGACAAAAATATATAAAATAATATATTATATATTGTATTAAAAGTGCATAAAATGTTATTTATGACTCGAATGTGATGAGGTAAAATGAAAAGCATTCAACTAATTATAATGAAGTCTTTCAGCTATTTTTATTCGAAATTTTAGGAATCAGGAATGATTTCCTCTAGAGATAAACTAATAGCTTATTGGAATTTCATCTTTGATTCCATTCACATTTCTTTTGGGACAGCGAACGCGTATCAGCCAGTCGGTGGCACCCGAGTACAACATTTTTACTTGATTTCTATGCAAATCTTAGCCCAGAGAGAGCCTGTAACCATGTAAACCTGATTTTGTTTCTCAATTCGAGAATCAATCAAGAGATAAATTGCATAAGCAATTGTAGAACAATTCACCTTTTGTGCGCAATTATATATGAATACATCACAGAGTATATCAGTGTATATACGACGCCTTTCGTGCGCTTTATTTGAGAATGTCTTTCCACTGATAATGCCAACGTTATTATAACACTCATATCTCATATTTCGACTGTGCTCAAATACAATAGATATTCAATCTCTGAATATCCACAAATCAAATTTTTTATATGAGCTCTCTCTATATACTATTTGTTGTTTGTTAAACTAGCTTAAAATGTGTTCAGTAGATAGACTTCATATATATATATATGCATATAGATACCGATATAGCTAGCAATTTCACTCTTGTTACCCATTCCACTGCGTGAAATTTAGGGAGCTGGGCGTGAGGGCTGCGCGTGCGCTGCATGTGGCACAGGCGTCATCAGCAGCTAAACGCACTTGAGAACCACTTCCGGTTAGGGCACTAGGCGGGCAAAGCAAACAAACAGAAATCAAAAACAAAAACAATCGAAAATATAAAAATTTTACTGCTTGCAGTGCTGACGACGCGTCGACGGTCAGCGCAGATTGGCTGAATGCGAAACGCGAAATGCAATAAGAAAAGCAGCCGCAAATATGTGGCTCGCTGCTTATCCTGGGACGCGTCATTTCGAGTGGCGCACGAGCAATTAAAATTGCACAATTTAAATGCTTGTGCAAGCGGCGGCACGCGTCTTGTGTGGCAGAGCGGGACGGGCGAACGGCCCACGCGGGCGTAGCCAGTGGAGAGAGAGAGGGAGAGAGGACAAGGAGCAGTGCGTTTGTTTTGACAAGTGCGCATAAGTACTGTTGGGATGTTTAGTTGTGTAGTTACGACTGCCTCTGTATACGACTATATGTATGTACATATGTACATACATATGTGTATATGTGCATACACACATACGYACAAATGTAGCGGTTCATGCACAATTTGTCGTCACTTGCGACGACGATGACTTAATTTGTTTAGCAGCAGCCCACAATTATAGCAGCTGAGTCCCAGAGCTGAAGCTGACCAAAGAGTCAGCCTCTGCGGCCGTCGGCTGCTCATTCGCACTCTGAGCAGCGCTGCGTCCACACATACACATATGTGTAGGCACGTTCTCCAGCACGAACATGGATATGGGTATGGATATGGGCATGAATATGGGCATGGACATGGACATGGACAGGGATATCAACATTAACATCAACATCAATGCTACCGAGACCCTTGAGTTCTCAGCGTACGTCCTGTCCTCGTTTGCCGGCGCCGACAGCAATGGCAGCGGCAGCAACGTGGGCGCCGATTCCGAGGACTCGCTCATTGGCCATACGCGCAGACAAGCACCGCCTAGACAGAAGATTAATGCACGGGAGCGCCATCGCACTTTCAAGTGAGTTGTCATTTAGCAGTAATTGCCAAGTCCACTTCATTTGAGTGGTGTTTACATTTGTTTAGCGTGAATGCTGCATATGAAGCGCTGCGCGGCTTGATCCCCACGGAGCCCGTTAATCGCAAACTATCCAAAATCGAAATAATACACCTGGCCAGCAGCTATATAACGCACCTGAGCAGCACGTTGCACGCAGGCAAGCAAGCTATTAATTATTCGTTTCATTGCCAGTTATCTTAACACTCAATTCTTATCCCACGTCCTCTCATCCCGCCACCAGGAACCGATAGACAGCCCTGTCTGCGTCAGAAGTGGGAGCACAAGTGCGAAAACGATGGCAACAGAGCTGCGGAGCGTGTTAACATTTGCACATTTTGCATGCGACCTAAATTTTCACAGTCTACGAGAAATGTAGAATAGTCTCCAGTAAATCTAATTGAATATAATATTAAATGTGTACATAAATAAATGTTATTCATAATGCGATAATATTTTTACTTATGTGTAATTTTTACCGCCACCTGTGCACTGTTAACGGTACTAAGCAGTTTGAAATAATCTACCGAGCTTAACACAAAATTCAAACTTGACTAAGTATTTTATACTCACATAAAATTTTTGTAACAGTCGCAAATGAGTAATTTTTGCAACCCGAAATCTAATAATAGAGACTTTTGTTGAATAAAGAATAGCTTAACGTCTAAACCCCTTTATTTATTTAAATGAAAATTTTTTTAGCATGGTGGTCAACTGCTTTAATATAAAATAAACAAAACAAAACAAGAAAACCCACATTTTTGTTAACAGTGCCATAATGAGTTATGCAACGATAACAAGTAGGAGTATCGATAGCTTTAAAGCCAGCAACCAACATAATGTGTAGTTCCAAATATAAATTGTATTTCATTATTTTATTAGTACATTTACATTTTTTTCGTGCACTGAAATGTACCACGTATAAATAATAGGCGCATAGAAATATAACCAGTCGCTAAGCCAACATTTGAAATGTTCAATTGAATCTAACGTGCATTTTTTCCTGAGGGCAACATTCGATAATAATAAAGTTATTTAATCGATAGTTAGTAAATATTGTTTGACAATCACATTGGCTTACCGATAACAGATAGATAGAGCCATCTAGGTGTTGTATCGAAATTTACTCACATGACACTGTAACATCCGTAATATTTGACAGTTAATTTTCAAACAGATTAATGTTCGACTCATTTTGGCACTGTTAACTTCAGTTTAGTATATCGGCTATAAGAACTAAAACTATTCGATTACCGTACATGGCATCACTAGCGCGTTGACTTGCAAATGGTAGCGGGATCTATTTAATTGTATTAGATTTGTTTAAGTTCCCTATTCGGAAATGGGCGATATGCTAAATGTAAGTGTATATATATCTACATATCTTGTATGATTACATGCATTGTCGTTCTTTTAGAATTCGGAGATGCTTAAAAAGCTGGGCATCGACAGCTCCAATCAGTGGATTATTTACGACGAACAGTTTGAGAAGTTCTTCAACTTTTTGTCAGAAAATATTACGGACTCCAATATTTTAACAGAACAGGAAGTACTAGAGAGTGAGGAGATGAAGCAGCGCGGCACATGGCTGAAAGAATCAGAGCGTGCCCTAAAGCTACAACAAATAGAATCGGAAAATCCTGGCCTACTAAAATACACGGCGCATGACGTTGACGCACTGGTCCTCGAGGTGGAAGCTATTAAGGAGGCAACCAAGGATTATTGCATACTGATCGACGAAATGCAGTAAGCAATTTATTAAGAGCACAAAGCGACAATCTTGATTAGTAAACAGCTTCCTTTCATCAAAGGAACACAAAACACAGTCAGAGCAGCAAACTAAGCGAGCTGGAGTGTTCGATTTTGTCATTGAGTAATGGAGAGAGGGAGCTATTAGGGGAGTGCCAGGCGAAGTCTCGCCTACTGGAAGAGGTGCAGCGAGAGAACTCCAAGCTGAGCGAGGAGGCCAACAAGGGATTCACCATGCAACAGTCGCCGCCCCTTTTCATGCACCAGATGCCGCTCGAGCAGTATTTCCTGAAATGTGATTCTTTCATGCAGTACTTCACTCTCTACATGAAGGAGAATTTCAAGATACAAGAGTTCACGGAATTCGAGGACGCCGAGGTGAACATGCAGCACTTCAATAGCAATCTGGAGAATCTGCAAAAGTCGTAAGTGGGCAAAACGAATACCTGAACGCAATAAGTAATACTATTCACGCACAGCATTCAGTATCACACACTGGAGTACATAAAGGAGAAGGCCAAGGCGAAGGCCACACAGGCACTGATTGATCACGTCGATCTCAATAAAATCCATTGCATCAGCTTGGCAGACATGGTGCGAGAAACACACGAGCTGCAGCTGCTCAACAGGAATCACCTGACGAGCACCCACGAGACTCTGATGAACGCGCTGGCCATGCACGTCCAGCAGCATACGCAGCAGCGAATTGAGCTGGTCCTCTACGAGAACACCAAGCTCAAGCTGGAGCGGGCACTGCGTCGCCGCGAAAATGACAAGCAGTTGACGACTGTCATTTCCGATGCCCTGTCCAATGCTGAGCTCATCTGGATAGGCATACAACTGGACCTAGAGAAGAAGCGAAACTGTACGGACAGCTCCATTGGTCTCTGTATGCAGGCGCACTCTAGTTGCCAGCGTATACAGGCGATGCGCTCGCTGAACGCCAGCTCTAAAGGCATCTATGCCCAGTTTGTGCAGGAAATCGCCAGTCAGCTATCGACACATCTCGGCCAGAACGTTCGCTCCGCAGAGGCCAAGAGCTGCTTATTTGAGTATGAAAAGTTTGGCCGTCTCTTGGCTAATTCTCTACACAGCATGTTGAGCCACAAGTCGGAAGTGTATGCGCACAAGCAGCTGGCCGAACTGTAAGTAGAGCCTTAGAATTATTGGTCTTAATCTAGGGTTTACCGAGTCGGTTTTACAGCAAGGACTTAGCTCAACTGCTGTGCCCGTTCGTCTATAATTCGCCACTTGATCAACCCATGCTAGAGAACGTTCGATATTTGTATCCCATGTTTGATGTTCGACAGCAGCAGCTGCGCTTCGATGACTCGCTTCGCCAATTGCGCACTGAGTTCCAGGAAACGATCCTAGAGCGTATGGTTAGTCAGCAAGGAAACAGTATTCTCTCACTAATAGAGAGTGTTCTTAACGTTTTGTCTTTCCTCCTCCATAATAGGACAAAGAAAAGCTTTGGCGCTATAGCAAACTCTTGTGGATTTGGTTTCTCACTGATCCGCACCGCATGATTCATGCCATTGATGAGGTAAAGAAGAGCTCAGCGAAGATCCCGGCGCTAACAACCGCCATGCTGCGTCCCATCGGCGGACTACAGCGCAAATGAATAGCATACATATTAGCTAAGTAAAATATAAATACCATCGAACAAATTATAGTAATGCATTCAGTGATTATAAATTGCAAAATGTCTGATGAAACATAGGTAAGCAACCCATGGATATTGCATTTAATACATAAGTACCTTAAATCAATATAAGTAATGTTGTTTTGTTACCAATTCAACGAGAAGTGAAATGAAACATTTGGCATCTCGATGTGCAGCATTCTCCACTCCTCTAATTTGTGCGATATTCCGTCCCTCTCTACGTTGTGTTGGTTTGCACCCCTGTGAATTAAATAAAATACAATATATGTATGCTGCATGCCATTTTGTACAAATTAATTTCACACTTTTAGGAAAGTAAACAATTAAATAGGAATTTGGTTGCAGTAAACGAAATCAGATAAATGTTAGGATCTTAAAAATTTATTAAGTGAATTTAATTAGAGCTAAAATATTGTAGAATCTATACAAATTGAAACAACTGAAATGTCTGTCAAAAAGATAAAAATGTTTTTAATGAATAATCGATCAAGATAATGCATCATATGATCACAAAATTAACAATCTGTTATTATAAATAGGCATTGTTATTTTATATTTTTCAATCATTTACAAATTACAAATTAATTTACTTTAGTATATATTAAAACATATTATTAACTTATATTCAAATTCAAACAAATGCTATTTGGAAAATAACAACTTAAACTATACAATGTCTACAACTTACCTAACTAAATTCAAGTACATTCAGATCTATAATTTGTTTCTGTAAATATAAAAACCTTTTCCAACAAACTACTAAATAAATTATTTTATACGTTTACTGGAAATACTAACCCAGAATCTTATATTTCATTAAGGGCAACTTTAAGATTATGTGTAATCTATCATCTACAAAGTATCTTTGAAACCACATAAGACTGTTAATGCATGTACTTCGATGATATTATTTAAATTGATCTATGTATATATATATAAATACTACTGTTTTGTTCTCATTCCATAATTCCAAATGTCAATATAATACTATCAACTAGTTCCACCATCGATAGTATATGAACTAATTAAGCAGTGCCTCTACAATCAGCTTCAAGTTCGAAAAGCTATTGTTTCAGTCCAATAACAGTCTGAAGATATGCCTTAACTTCTGAGACTTATAGAATTGACTAAAAAATATGTTTGCTAAAAAATAAGCACTAAGACCTAAAAGACTATTGAAATTCGATATTACCAAAATCATATTCGGAAAGAAACTTGAACACGTCTTATAAAAGCTGGAATAAATATACATACAACATATTCTTTTCTCCCTTGTTAAGAATTTATCATATTTCGCAGAAGGAATAAGTGCACAAATATTTTTATACACAATTTATTGCAAATCATGCTTGAAGTATACTCCATGTAATTTGGCTCTTAAGAAGTCAAAAGCAACGGCGCCTCAGAAGAGATGCCTGGATTCGAACACAGTTAAGAATAATGTAAAAGCCATCGAAATGAGTTTTTTGCTGCTTAAATATTTCAAATACAAAAATGATTATTTTAAGCTATAAGCTAAAAGAACTTCATTATTTACATCCTTGTAGTTGTCTGTTTAAGAATTTAAAAAGCACGCTGATATTGGTATACATTTGATTGCCACGCCCCTACTGGATGCACATAACATAAGTATATAAACTTATATGCATCCAACTTCAGTGTTTTGCTGAAATGTATGTAAATGGGGCGTGGCAGACTTTACAAAGTATATATATTCTTGATCAGGCGACGAGCTCAGTCGATTTAGCCCAGTCCCTATGTCTGTGTGCCCGTCTATCCGAATGTTTGGACGTGTTGCGGATATATAACAAACTTTGTTATTTTGTTATCGATTTGAAGCCTTATTGGAAATCAGTTATAAAATTATATCTTCTACATATTCTACATCTTGTAACAGGCAGAAGGAGGCGTGGCAGACCCCATAAAGTATATATATCTTGATCAGGGCGACGAGCTGAGTCGATTTGGCACTATCCGTCTGTCCGTCCGTATGTATGAATATATGTATATGTATGAACGCGTCAATCTCAGAAGATATAAGAGCTAGAGACTTGAAGTTTTTTTTCCTAGGTCCGTGTATATCGCTCGCATATCGAGTTTTTTTATATATGTCGATAACTACTCCCGATATTTTATTATCGATCAAAAACCTTATCGAAAACCAGTAATAAATTTATATCTCCTACATCTTTGAAGTTAGAGTCTGAAAATTTTATATGTATACTTATATGCATTTTATACAATTTCGGTTTTTGTCAAAACTTACCCCCCACCTCTAATTCACCCCCTAACCCACGCATTTGTAAAAGGCGTATGTCAAATACTAGAGACTTGTGCTTTGGCAAATACATGCATATAACAAGTAAGAAAGCTCTAGTCGAGACTGCTCGACTACGAGATCCCCTGAACCCTTCGAGCAGTAGCTATTTCAATAATTTTTCGCGTCTTTCTGCTTACACGAGAAATACGCATACACGCATACATGTCTGTACATGGACTGTTTGTTGTGTAAGTAGAAAAGAAGCAAAGAAGAATTGTTTGTTGTTCCATTTGGTAACATGGATGAACGAACATAACGGAGTTTTGTATCTAACCGTACACAGTAACACTACTACCACTTTTTACCACTCTTACGGCAGGTGAGCCTAGATATGAGACAATATCAACAAGAAGTTTTAAAAATGAAAAAATATTATTTCTTGGCGGGCTGAAGATTACTTTTACATACAGTTATCATATCACATATTACTCAATCTAAAGTTGATTAACATTTATATTGGCATTGCTCAAAGTCATTGATTGCTATTCAACACGCACAGGGTGATTCATGGTTAAGTCATTTCTAATTTTATTGACCTGTGTAACTGGTAATCCTCAGCAGCAATAAGTGGTATTTCCTAAATTCAATAAAGGATGCCAGCTGCACAGACGTGAGCAGCGCCTCGTCCCATGTCCGTTGAGCGGAAGTAGGCTATCAAACACCTGGAGAGGACTCCACGCTGGCTGATGCATTCGCTGCGTGCTTGGCATTTAATGTGCCTGGAACGTGCAGCGGATGCATCGGCCAGGAGTTCTTACCAGTTATGCCAATGCTAATAACATCATAATTTCCGAATGTAACTTCATAAGAATATTGTAGTCGATGGTGGCATACTCTGCTTGAAGAACTTGCATATTATTTGTATAATGGCTGTATCTGTGGATGGCTCAATGAAGCAGGTTTATTGAAGATAACTATTAAAAACTGAAAAATTAGTTATTATATTTCTTCTAGAGAGTACTAGAATACTAAGTTAAGAGTTCGATTGACTTGGAGTAAGCTGCATCAATAAATGCTGAGCTTCATATAACTCTATACATACCAAATCTGTTCTTAGTATTAATTGTCCAGTTTCGATTATATTCTGGGAACTTGTGGCAGTACTGTTCTTTTCACATTACGATCTTGTGGGCCCAAGAATGTTTATGCTCTAGGAATGCTCGTGAATTCGATGTTCATGCTTGAATAGTCTTAATCGGAATGTAAGGCTAATTCAACTTTATTTGAGAATTCTCCAACTACGTTGATCTGAAGAAATAGGAAAAATTATAAATATAATTTAAAACATTTTGTTTAACAAACTATAAAAAAAAGTTATTCCAGATGGTATATGTATAGTGTATGTATTATACATTTTTAATAAATTTATTAATTTTGTATCTGGGTATTTAATTTTCAATTTTTCTACAGTAATGCAAAAACCCAATATACCCGTTTCGGCTGTGTGCGATACACAAACGTCGAAATAAGTCTATTAACTGGGTGCATCGCCGAAAGCAAATGCAAATAGATATGGAAATAGTTCGAGTCTGGGTTGGGGAAACGGAACTCGAGCCCATGTTGCAAAGTCAAAGAGAAAAATATATATATACAATGGGCGTGTGTGTGTTCGTGTGAGTGTGTGAAGGGGAGAGAGACGAAAGCGAAACAATAAAGAAGAGTAAAAGCAAAATCAATAAAAACAACCCAACGACTTGATAAAATATTTGAAATTCATTTCGCGCCGCCGCTTCGATCGGCATTTCGATGACAGCATTTAATGGGTATTATGTAAAGGTTTTTTGTTGTTGATATGCTTGGACGTTGGCCAGCAGCGGTAACAAAGGTCAACCACACGCATGCGCGCTGCCGTTGAAAACCTGTAACAGCAGTTATACCAGCTGTATGGCTTGGCTGCAGACATTGATTTTGGTTCCGGCCCAGCCCTAATATACATAAGTATCTCTTCGCTGGTCTTTCTCTACCCTCTGTCTCTTTCTCTCGCTCTGTCGATTTACATGCGCAATAAACGAAGACCATGTCCCAGCAAGTCAAACAAGATTCATAACGAAGACAACACCTGTTGCAATTGACCCAGTTTAATATAAGACCTAAAGATGATTCGAACCAAATGGCAATAAAAATATACTTTAATACAGTCCCCAAAAACCAAATTTCATTGCGCTGACAATACTTTTGATTTTGTTACCAATTTTAATTCATTTTTATCTTTATTTT